GAGGTGAATCAGGTCTTAAGACCTTATCTCTCGGATTACTGACAAAACCGGCTTCCCTACTATCTTAACCTTAAAACTCAACCAAGAAAACTTTTGAAAGGAGATTTGAGATAAAATGCAGGTTTTAAAAAAATAGATTTAGAAAGATAACAAAAGAAGAGAACCACAAGTAAGCAACTAAACTACGAAGATTCAGGGGTAAAGAATCTAACTACAAGATGTAAGAAGAATAAAAAATGAAATGGCATGGAGACAAGAGAGTGAGTCAAGTCTAAATATACATGACATAGAATAAAAGAGAGAGAGAGTAATATGGAAATAGAGAAGGAAGGAGAATATGTCCCCCTTAATGAGGCAAAGAGATATAAGTATGAGATGAGAATAAAGATAATAGTACCACATGGAAGGGAATAACTATAAGTAAAAGGGAAACGAAACTAATGCTAATAGACAATATGCAAGGAGAGTAACAAAATTAGATATAAAAGAGAGATATGGGGAAAAAGTGTCACAAAGAGTGCTAAAATAAATGAGATAGACAAAAATAGAGAATGATACATTGACAGAGGGAGAGAGAAGTAGATGAATACAAGTTACTAAAAAAAGATAATGTAAGACAAGAAAAGCAAATGCAACAAGAAGATGATAAGAGAGACTAAGCTATTGAACAAATTATAAGGGAAAAAGATAAAATAAGTATGAGAGAGAGTAGGGAATGAGAGGGGTGGAGGAAATGAGATCTAAACTACATAATAAGGGGAAAGAAAAAAGACTAAAATAAATCACCCTAACTAAGATGGAAAAAGCTTAATAAAGAGGAACAAATAATCACTACAAAGAATGGACACGAAGTGGGAAAGATTTACATTATTGAATGAGTAAAATGAAGAAAGAGAAACAAGTAACGAACTAGAAAAAATAAATACAACAAGAAAAAAGAAAACAACCACACAATAAAAGAGATACGAGATTGGGACGAAAAGAGAGAGAGTCTATACTATCAAATAGAGAAAACTACGAGGAAGTATTAATGTATCAAACCAGGAGAATAGATGCTCATAAGAGATAGAGAAAATCAATCTATACTAAGGAAGATGGGAGAAAAAGGGGAATCTACATCATAAAAGAAAGAAAAGGGAAAGGAATAAACACCAAAAACCTAACAAGAAATAAATATTACTATGATGAGAAAATAAACTATTTAATGAAGATAATGAGGTTGTTGAAAAGAGATTATCTATGCTACTAGACAAAGAAATGAAGAAGAGTAGCAAATGCCATAAAAACAAAAGAAATAAATGCAAAGTAATTAAGGGGGAGATGATCATGCAATGGGAAGAAAAGGGGGAAAAGGGGGAATTAAATATAACTAACTATATGTATTAAATGCTACATTAAATGAGAAAGCAAGGGAAAGTAGATAGGATCATGAATAGCGAAAAATATGGAAAAAAAAGGAAAAACATACATAACAATAGCTAAAACATAAATAAATGCAAAAATCAAAAGAAAGGGAAAGAGAAGTTAAATCATGAAATGAAGAAAGAGAAGAAGAAAGCCATTACTATGAAAAGAAATGCTAGAAAAATCAATGAAAAGCGTAAGAAAATAACATTTAGGCCAGGCCCCTTGGCTCGGCGTCGATTTAAGTTGTAAACTTACACAGTCAGTTGCGAACTTTCTTGGTTCTTTAACGGGGCAAATAGAAATAGGAATAAGAGGCCTTGAGGGTTTGATTATCTAGACTGCCCTCAGTTTGAAGTATAGCTTGAAGGAGTTTGTAGTTGTAGTTTTAGCTTGAAGGGGTTTGTTAGAATGGGGGTTGCTCAAGGGGGCTCACCTTGGGGCTTTTCTCTCAACCTCAAGTATAAACTTAAGATCAAGAGATTTTTGGGCATAACTTAGGCACAAGATTAAGGGAACTCGAGCTTTTTTCCTAAGGAAAATGGGTTATTTACAGGCAAAAATCGACCCATGACAGCCTGTACGTTGGTTTTGTGCGATTTTTGGGCCATCAGAACCACGACGACATTTGCTTGACACTAGCCCCGGCTGGAATGGTGCCATGTCATTAATGTTGTAATAATTACGGTCAATAAATATTAATTACGCATTAATGTGGCTTTTGTACAACCTGTCAGAATCTGACGCCATTGGCAATGGCATCGACAACATTTCGATTGCCTTCAGATGTGTTTTTGGACACATGTCATGCTTTGGTGACTCTGAACTTGTGCAGATGGACCAATCGCAACTTCAAGCTATTTCGACTAACGCCGGTGGAATTTGGGCTGTTGTTAGATACCAGCTGGCACACCATTTTGGTTGTATCTTCATTTGATCATCAACCAATGAGAGTTCAACAACCATGATCTGTACTGACGTCGACATATCAGTACGGGCAAGCCATGTTGGCACGTACAGATTGACATGTCAGCCCATCACTTCAATCACATTGGCCAGGTTGTTTCCTTTCGGGTAGATGTCTCGAGACCTGACAATACTTTAAATGGCATTGGCAACATTGGCATTACGGCCAGGCTTCTAGGAATTCTGAAACTTAAAAAGGGAGGCCACGGGCTTGGCGCTATTTGGACTGGTGCTGACACTAGGCATTTGGTCTTTCGGGTCGCCTGTGTGATGACTGAGGTGACTTCGGTGTCTTGTCATCGAACTTTTAGTAGGTCTTTGGTGCCCATTGAGGTAAGATCGTAGCCTTTCATTCTGAATGCTTTATGGTCAGGTTGATCTGAGTCTGTCTCACCTTGTTTATCCTCTTGACACTTTTGGTCCCACTAGAGCAATAAGGGCTTAGTGGAGGCTAGGTTTACGAAGAAGGGCTTCCGGTGGGGTGAATGGTTTAAAATACCCAGATGGCCTACCTGGGACATTTCAACATATCCATAACTTCTCTAGCCGAGATCGGGGTCTTTAGAGTTGCCCCTCTTTGTCGCATGTGTCTCACTCTAGCGGCGAGACAAGAAGTAGCAAAGAAGTGGACCCTTGCGGTAAAAGAGTTGAGTGGAAGGGAGAATTTAGACTCTTCATCCATAGAGTCATGGCCTCATGAGAGAGGGATCTGTCATGTCTGATGGTCTCGCTTGAGACCCGATGGTTAGCTTAGCTCATTGTTTGAGGTGTCGCAAGTTGGTCACTCTCAGAATCAACGCTTGGGACCTAGAGGTTGTAGCTCCGTTTGTAGATTGTAGGGCAGGTGTACCACTTCTTCGATGACTCAGAGTCAAATCATCTTGTATGGAATGTAATAATTGAGAAGGGTGGAGAAATCTCAACTGAATAGGTCATAGATGGCCTCATATCCCAGGTGTGTTCCTAGGGTTGTCTAAGGTTGGTGATGGCTTAGGAATTGAGAGTTTTTCTTTTTGTTTTCTGACTTTGATGGAGAAAAGGGGTATGGTAGCAGTTTCTACTTGTTGTAGTTATTTCACAGAGTCATGGCCTCATGAGAGAGGGATCTGTCATGTCTGGTGGTCTCGCTTGAGACCCGATGGTTAGCTTAGCTCATTGTTTGTGGTGTCGCAAGTTGGTCGCTCTTGAAATTATCGCTTGGGACCTAGAGGTTGTAGCTCCATTTGTAGATTGTAGGGCAAGTGTACCACTTCTTCGATGACTTAGAGTCAAATCATCTTGTATGGAATGTAATAATTGAGAAGGGTGGAGAAGTCTCAACTGAATAGGTCATAGATGGCCTCATATCCTAGATGTGTTCCTAGAGTTGTCTAAGGTTGGTGATGGCTTAGGAATTGGGAGTTTTTCTTTTTGTTTTCTGACTTTGATGGAGAAAAGGGGTATGGTAAGTAGTTTCTACCTGTTGTAGTTATTTCCCATTAGATTGAGTGACTATGAGTGCAATATGATCATCATTGTCGGGGCCGTTCTGACTCCTTTGTTTTCGAAAATCATTTTTCAGAGCAAGAATATTTTGAAATTAGGGCGAAAGGGTTTAGAACAAATGCTAATGCCGGGTTACGATTTGAACAAAAGAGATTAAGGTTTTCGAAATGACATACACAGAGTGAAGGGTTTTTGATAAAATTCCAGACCATAGTTGTTTTTAGTGTTGCCCTTTTTTACTTTAAAAGGGAGATACTTTAGAAAGATTAAAACTAGACTAGGTTTGCATTTTAAACTCATGCGACTGAGGAGTCATCCGAGCAGTTTAACGTCATGCGGTGATGGATGAGGTAAGCGTTTTAACGTCATGCATCCTTGGGTGAGGTAAGCAGTTTAACGTCATGTATCCATGGACGGACATCGAATAGGACTGCTCCCTAGCGGGTATTGCCAGTGTCTGTTGGGAAGTATTTAAGGGACATTGGCTTTGGCCAATAATATGACTATTTGGGGGAGGGGTGGTGAGGGTTGGTCCGGCATCCGTCTTAAGTCGGATCCGGGTCGATTTGGAGGGTAAGATATGGCGATTTTGCCAGGGTCACCAGTGAGTTGTAATGGTCTCTAGACGATAGAGGGAAACTTTGGTCATTCGTTGACATATGGGCCCCTAAGGGAATCATCCATCTGGTCCGGCCTACCCCATTTGGGCCTGTAGGATATTGTCATGGATCCCTTGGGGGTGTTATTGCAAAATTGTGGATCATAAATTTTGGACGACATGGGAAATGCATTTGGCAATAGTCCAAATGCCTTCAAATGGGCTAGGGGTATTTTTGTCATTTGACAACCCATGCCCCAAAGGAATCTTCTCTCATCACAGGCCTATCATGATTTTGGCTTGATGGGACTCGTCTTTAATCCCTTGGGGGTTACTTTTGAAATGGTGAATCATTTTCTTAGGCATCATTGCAAATGACTTCAAATGGTAGAGAGGCATTTTCGCCATTTGACGACACATGCCTCAAAAGAATCTTCCCTCATCATAGGCCTGCCCTGAATTTAGCCTGATGGGACTCGTCTCTGATCCCTTGGTGGTTTGAATTTCCTTTGGCACCATTTCGAATGGTGCCCCAATGTGGGGCCCTTGGTGTCCCAAAGGGACCCATCCGTGGTTCATTTTCCTGTTCACCTTTTGGATTTTAGGATGTCTTCCCACCGTCATATTCCATCCTAGGAATCGATGACTAGTGGCACTATCAATGGTTCCCATTTCATTGGCAATGCCATTTCCCACGAAATGCTCGTTCCTGGCGATGCATCTCAATCTAGGACAGGCCCAGGTGGGTCCACTAAGGCTCGATCATCCTCGTGCTTCGACCTTGTAGATTTTGTTTTTCCTAAGGCGGAGGGTTCCTCTATCTTGAAGAGCCTCTACCATGCCCTAGGTCACGCTTCTCATGAGGAGGTATCCCTCTTTCCTACCATCACGAAGACAGTGATAAGGGATATGAAGGAGTGGGTTCCCCGGGTATTGAATCTTCTGTGAAGGAGATGGATGAACTTGTCATACTTGCCGAGAAATCATGGATTTGGAATATTTGACTGAACTGCATGAGTTGGCTAAGAGGGCATTGTATCTCGCTCGTGCGACTTTGGAGCGACCGAGGTCTGACGGCATTAGAAATGCCGACAGTGCCATTTCGAATGGCGCCCAAACGCAAACTCGGTTGGGGTTTTTATAAAGCCCCAACTTGTTCACTTGCATTCATCTTTGTCCACTTTGAGCCTTAGTAGCCCTCTCTGAGTTTCTTGGTGGGAGTATTTTCTTTTTGCCCCCTTTCCTCTCTCATTCGCTAGGATTTCGAAGCTTGCCGGAATCCTGACCGGAGTTTGTGAATCTTGCTCGAAATCGAATCTGAAAATCTGAAAAAGACAATGAGTTGGAGAACACTTGGTTCTTCGAAGGACAACATATCAGGGTCAGTTTACGGGAAAATAAGGTACAATGGAAAACTCTTTTTCATTTGATGTGATATTTCAATTTCCTCGTTTTTCTTCCTCGTATCCTAAAATTTCTTGTAAGTATGGGGGGTTTGAAGTGTCGTGATTCTTTTGGTACAGAAACCCCCAAATTTGATGGGTGATTTTGGGATCTTGAGCTCGCTGAATTTTTTTTTTTTATTCATAAAAAAAAGTCATGGGGTTGCCCGGAATGGCAACTCCAATTATTCTTTTTGTTGGGGTTGGGATTTCTGCCCACCCCGAAACTGGTTTGGTCATTTTTTGGCAATTTTTGGGTGATCTCGGGTGGCTCAAGGAACTTCCGGCCAGCTGACCGTTAGTGCTTTTTGGAATGGCGTTGGTGGCACTTCGAGTGCCGCCATGGGTTCTGTGCCCTTCTGTGATATGTGGGTCCCGTTTGGTGGGGTCTCGACCTATTTCGAGCATTTTGGGTTTTTTTAGTCCATTAGGGTTGAGCCCCTATTCCTTGCCTTCTCACCATCATCATTATTTTATTTTTATTTTTTTTCTCGTTTGGACCCTAAAACCAATTTTGTGTTTGGATTTTGAATGACCCTTGAAATGGTATCGCTCCATTTCGAGGCACAATGGAGTGAGCTTTTGACGCTTTCTCTCCTATCCCATTTCATAGAGCAAGGAAGGACTCATATGCCCATCTTGATGATTCTTTTCCTTTTTCATTTTACATATGTATATTCTTCCTTGTGTTTTTTTTTGTCTGTCCTATCCTTGAAATTATAGGATGGATTAACCTGATGGATTATAGTTGGGTTTTTACCATTGCATTCCCCTATCATGCTAATATTTAGATATGGGGATTTTATCTTGACATTTTTCTTATCCCATTGTACCCCTCTTTCTTCTACTGACCATTTATATGGGGTACACTGGGGGGCGAGGATTCTTCCTCCTCGGTTGGTCAGGGAGGTCCTGGATATCGGCCTATGGGAGGTATGTCAGATCGATGCCTTCCCGTTGGACATGGCACTCATTAATGCTCTAGTTCACCTATTTCAACCCGAGACCAGGACTTTCCCCTTTCCTTGTGAGGAAACCGGTATCACTCTGGAGGCTGTGACTCGGATCCTTGGGGTTGGGAGTGATGGGCTACCTCTTCGTTGTGACCCTCCTTTTGATGACCGTTCTTTTTGGGGAGAGGTCATAGAGATGTTGGGAGATGTTCCTCCCAAGGAGCGAAGGTGGGACGAAAAGTCCTTGCCTTGAGTTGGATTATAGAGGCTATAAGAGGTATAAAGCTCCTGCGGTTAGAGGTCGATGAGCACTCAAGGAGTGTACTGAGGGCTTGGGCTACGAAATTGCCTGTCAGGCCCAAGACACGAGTTAAGAGCGCCCAGCGACTAATGTATCTGATGCTTCTATTGAGGCTCAAGAGCCCGTGTTGGAACCGCAGGATGAGGAGAGAGAGGATTCTTCCTCTTCTTTGGCTTCATCCTCCGTGATCGACTCTAAGGATTGGATGGCAAACGAAGAAACTGTTACAGCGACCCCTCACGTAGACTCTTCAGGGGACGATGCTGAGAACATAAGTATTGGTCGTAAGCACCCTAGGAGGGCATGTACCCTCAGGGAGCTCGAGAGAAAGGGGCGTCCCATTCTTGATCTGCCAGCCCGTGACTAGGTAGATGATTTCATCGAAGGTGCCATCCCCTTAGCTGATGTTTTGGCTAGAGAGACCCCTAGAGCCAGTGGAGTAGGGGCCGCAGCCACTTCTGTGGGGTCGGCCCGTATCGAGAGAGTTATTGGGGAGTCCGAGCCCTTGGGAGCTGACTAGGGTACTCCTGCAGAGATCGAGGGAGAGGCCCAGACTAAGGCTGAGGAGTATATTCCTGAGGATAGGGGAGTCTTCAGCCCCGACTATGATCCTCTAGGTGATGGTGAGCTTGCCGTGGCTGATAGGCAGACAGTTCGCGGTTTCCTGGTGTATCTTTTTGGTTCCCTTCTATTTCCTGACCCTTCGAAAGGTAATCCCCGTGTTCAGTTTGTGTGGATCATTCGAGACCTTGAGTATCTCCATCAGGTGGCATGAGGTCTGTCCACACTAACTTTTCTTCTTTAGGGGATGCGAGAGGCCGCTCTTGAGCATGTGAGTTATGTTGCTGGTTTTACAACCTTTATTCAGGTATTTCCCTCTTTTCTTTCTTTTTTAGGAATCTCATTCTAACTGGAGACTCTTAATAGGTTCGGGTTTGGGAACGTATTGTTGTGACTAGGCCCCTTGTTTCGAGGACCGCCGAGCGTTTTCATCGTATCCATCATTGGGCGCGGGGCAAGCAAGCTTTTGTCCAGGCTTTTGCTGTGGATCATTACACCTTGAATTTCGACGTTATGGAGGAAAATGAGATATAAGAGCCTTCCCTCATTCCATTCTTATGTCCCAACCCCTTTCGCTTCCTTACTCTCCTTTTTGCAATCACATGGGCATCTGTGTCTGGTGATGAGCACTGATAGATAGTGGAGAAGTCTCAGGAGGTATTTTTTACGACCTCTCCTTTGATTTGTATGATGTCATGGAGGCCTACTACTTGTACCGACTCCTTCGGCATTTCAGATATATCCAGGTGGAGCTACCTGATGTAAATGTCTTCACCATCCTTGAGATCAGCTTGTGACGAGATTACCAGCAGAACTCATCTCCTTTTCTCACCCAATGGGTTCAGCACCATGCATTGCAAGTAGACCCTCCAAATCACATTACACTTGAGGAGGTGGATCATTTCCGCCATGCCTATACATGGTTTGTGTACGAGGTTGCCTGTCGCTCTCCTTGACATAAGAAGTTCTCGGTTGAAGCCTATGCAGTTGAGGATATGCGAGCTGAGCGTAATGATTTTAGATCGAGGCTGTGACAGTTTCAGCAGCACGCTCAGTTGCCGAGAGAGCATGAAGATGTTGTTCAGAGTCAATCCCAGATAGAGCATGAGAGGGACTCCCTTAGTCAGAGTCTTCGTGATATTTCTCATATGGGATCTCCTCTTCCATGCGTGGGTTCTTCGGGCGTTCCACTTATTCCACAGACTTCTCAGGGGCTTTCGCCTAGAGAAGCCATGCATTTTCGTTCTCGAATCATTCTTTACCAGTCTGAGTGCTGGCGCCTTTGAGTTGAGAGGGTAGACGATCAGGAGGCATCTTCATCCCATCGTCCTTCCTTACTCCCAAAGCCCTGCATTTTGATAGACAGTTGTTTCTTGGGTTTTACATGCCCTTAGTGGTTGATCCTTTTGGATTTGTGTTATTTTTCTGCGATCACCACATATTTTTTATTATGTTGTTCACATGGATGATTCTATCGTCTTTTGCTAATCACATGGTATGCCCATTGATTGCATATATGTTTGTAATGTTTTGCATGTAGACCGATTGATTGACGGCAACCATGTGCGCACGCTAAAAAATGCATCATTTCCCTTTCAACTCGTTTAAATCATTTCCTTTGTATGTCGAACACGCATAAGATGGGAAACGAGTCGCTCCTTAATTGCTTCGGAAACATGGGTGAGAGAGAGACTTCCTTTTACACTGGTTAGACTGGTCATAGGCAGGGAAACACCGTTTCCATCAAATGATAGTTAGCAGTTTAAAGTCGTGCAATTATGGACTATAGATCCTATTTTAAAATAATTTCGAGAATAATTTGGAGTGAGTAAAAGCTGGCTTTTAGAAAATCATTTTAAAACATGAGTGGGCCTTATAGTTTAGACACTTATGGCCCCTTGGTGTGAATGAAATTAAACATATATTTAGAAGTTTAATTAAATCCAGAAACTAGTTTTAATATCCTAATTTTGAAAATGAATTTTTGCCCCAAGAGTGGATTCTTATGAATAAAAAAGGACCCATTTTCTAAAAGTGGTCAGTTTTTAAAAGGGAGTTTAATTTTTAGAAGGGCTGGTTAGAGATGGGCCAGTTTCGTCTTGGACCAAAACGACTTGGAAATCTCAAGTATTTTTCCCCTCAAGCACTGGTCTGAGTATTTCCAATGGACTTGGAAATCTCAAGTATTTTTCGTTCTCGAATCATTCTTTCCCTTGTGACTGTATCATTTTAAAAGTTTGTCCCATTATCAGTGATAATTGCTTTTGGGAGCCCAAATCGGTAAATGATGTTATTCTTGAGGAACCACGCTTCATGTCATCCTTCAATTTTTGTGAACGAGGTAGCTTCTGCCCATTTGGTGAAGTATTCCGTGGCTGTTAGGATGAACATGTGTCCATTTGATGCTCTAGGAGATATCACTCCTATAACATCAAGGGCCCACCATGCAAAGGGCCATATTGGTGGTGTTAAATTTAGAGGCATGGATGGCACGTGAATGAGGTCCCTATATATTTGACATTTGGGACAACTCTTTGCATGCTTCCAACAGTCATCCGCCATGGTGGTCCAATAATATCCTTGACGCCTAATTTTTTGGGCGAGGGCAGTTGCCCTAGGATGTCCTCCATTTTATCAATTCTAGGGTGATAGATACATCTTATAAGGACTCCATCAAAGGATTTCTTCTAAATTTGGTCACCCCAGACAACAAAGTCGACTGAATATCTTCTTAGGTCTTCCTTGCTTTTTGCACTTGCCCCTTTTGGATATTCATTGCTCTTTAGAATGGTGAGTATGTCACTGCACCATGGTCTAGCTTCTACTTGGCTTTGTTCATTTATGGCGAAGATCCCTATCATTTCTTCTTCATTTTTGTCAATCTCTTCAATTTTACTAGTTTTGGGGAGAGAGGGACAATGTTTGTGGCTGACATAGAAGGGTTTAGCATCTACCCCCAAGGGATACTAACCATGGAGACTAGGGTGGCAAGGGTATCTTTAAACTTATTGTTGACCCTTGCCACATGTTGGAACGTGATTTCTTTGACATTTCTAATTAGGCGCCCCACCTTTTCATAGTAGGGAACCAATTGTTATTCGCGTACCTTCCACGCCCCTTGAATTTGACTTATCATAAGGAGTGAATCGTCGATAACTCGTAATCTTTCGATTCGGAGTTCGACAGCACTTTCAAGCCCCGTTATTAGGGCCTCATATTTGGCTACGTTGTTGGTGCATGAGAAGTTACATCTTACAGCTGTAGGGAACGGGATCCTCTCGGGTGAGCATAGAATGATGCCCACTCCTGCCCCATATTCATTTTTTCACCATCAAAATGTAGTTTCCATGTTGGATCCTCTATGTTAAAGAGGTCTACATTGAGTAGATTAGTGTTGATTGGTGTATCACCGGAAAGCGTATGTTCCGCTAAGTGTTCAACTATCGCTTGCCCCTTGACTGATTTCCTGGTGACATAGTCAATTTTGAACTAACTTAGGAGCATACACAATTTTGCCAGCTGTCCATTGAGGATTGAATTTTCGATAATGTATTTTAGCAGGTCCATCTTTGCGATGAGTTTTATGGTATGTGACAAAACATAATGCCTCAGCTTTTGAGTTGCCGACATTAGCAAGGGACAATGCTTTTCAACATCCATGTACCTAGTTTCGTAGTCGACCAAGGTCTTATTTAGATATGTTCCGCTAAGTGTTCAACTATCGCTTGCCCCTTGACTGATTTCCTGGTGACATAGTCAATTTTGAACTAACTTAGGAGCATACACAATTTTGCCAGCTGTCCATTGAGGATTGAATTTTCGATAATGTATTTTAGCAGGTCCATCTTTGCGATGAGTTTTATGGTATGTGACAAAACATAATGCCTCAGCTTTTGAGTTGCCGACATTAGCAAGGGACAATGCTTTTCAACATCCATGTACCTAGTTTCGTAGTCGACCAAGGTCTTATTTAGATAGTAAATGGTTTGTTACTTTCCTTGGTCGTCATTTTGCCCCAACATGGCCCCCATGGTTTTATTTTTCACATAAAGGTATAAGAACATGGGTTTCTCGAGAACAGGAGGGCTTAACAATGGTGGATTGGTCAAGTGATGTTTTATTCGCTCAAAAGCTTCTTGACACTTTTCATCCCATTCAAACGATGTATCTTTTTTCAATAATCAGTTGAAGGATTCACATTTGTCTGCTAATTGCGATATGAAACGCCTTATGGATTGTATTCTTCCTTGCAGGCCTCGTATTTCTCTGATGTTTCTGGGACGAGGCATGTCTGTGAAAGACCAGATTTTTTACGGGTCCATTTGATGCCCCTCTAATTGATTATAAAGCCTAACAATTTTCTTGAGGCCACTCCGAAAGCATATTTTTAAGGTTTAGTTTGAGTTGATATCTACGGAGTCGTTCGAATACCAATTTTAGGTCGACTTGGTGGGCACCCCTAGTTTTGGATTTTATTAGGATGTCATCCACATAGTCTTCCATGTGTATGTGCATCATATAATGGAATATGGTGGTTATTGTCCTTTGGTAAGTTGCTCCGACATTCTTGAGACTGAAGGGCATGACTTGATAGCATTAGGTTCCCATGGTGTAATGAATGACGTTTTTATTTGGTCTTCCTTAGCCATACAGATTTGATTATACCCCCGAGAAACCATCCATGAACGGCAGTAACTCGTGCTAGATGATATATTCAACTAGGGCATCTATAGTAGGCAAAGGAAAATCGTCTTTTGGATATGCCTTGTTTAGATCCCTAAAGTCGACACACATTCGGATTCGGTTGTTTTTCTTGGGGACAATAATAATATTGGCCAACCAATCAGGATAATCGACAAGCACGATGAAGTTTACCTTTAAGAGCTTTTCAATTTCCTCGGTTTTAAGTTCCATGTAGGTCTTTAGTCGTTGGGCCTCTTGTTTGATAGGATTTGCCTCGTCCCATACATTGAGGTGGTGCTCAACTAGGCAGAATACAATCCAGGCATGTCGTTGTATGACCAAGCAAAGACATCCCGGTATTTGTTGAGGAAGGTTACCATCTTATGTCGCTCTTCGGTCGACAAGGAACTCCGGACCTCGATTACTTTCGGGTTGTCCTTGGAAACCAAATTGACCTCCAACATCTCCTCGACAGCGGCCATTGGGTTACCATCGCATTTTTGCTTGATTTGTTCGACGTGGGATCAGAGCTCTGCTTGCTCGAAATCACTTTCGGTTTTTGCATCTGTTTGATCCGAGATAGAGGGGTTTGGCTAATCACTAGGGATTGATATTTCCATTATAGGATTCTTGGATTGGTTTGAGATTTAAGCATTTTCTTTAACAAAATCTTAATTTTCATTAGATTTATTAAGATTTTTATCAGTTTTATAATTAACCTGTATGGGACTGGATGAGGTGACAGGAAATGACGAGGGCGCGGGACACTCTTGGGGATAACCTGTGCCTACTTGTTTTTTTGGCACCAGTGTTTATTGATGCTGTCGAAAGCCTTCTAGTGCATTAGAGGTCATCAGAACGAGAGACCAATTCCATCATTGGCTCTGTTGAGAGGTCGGGAGAGTGTGACCCATATATAGGGGCATTCTCTAGCTACTTAAGTCGAGTTAAGCAAGATGGTCCTCAACTAGCTTATGTGTGTGTGTTCATTTGAAATTGGAAATTTTGAAACCCATGCGGAGTCGGATATCGGGCGAGAAGATGATACATGTTTGCCCGATGTCCGACAACTGTGAAGTTCTAGAAGTAGTATTGTATGATAATTGAATGATGCCTCCCATTTGTTGGGATGGAGGAGCAGGCTTTATGGAATCAAGGTTTTGAATTCTCACGAAAGTGAACTTGATCGGCCCTTAGGGCCTCCATGAGGGCGTGTGAGCACCCAAACTCTCTCTGGTCATGTTTTTCTGATTTGGCATTCATGGAAGTTGCAATTGTCATGTTGCCCCTGTTTCCATGGGTCTTAGGCCATGCCTGATGTGAAAGCCTAAGGTTACAGGCATGTACCTTCCTTTTGACCCATATTTGTATTTATCGTAGTAGAATTGGATTTGTTCATAGTATGGAGAACCGTGAAACCTTTCGAGAGCAGGATTACCTATTTCGAGAGTAAGAGTGGCTCAGTAAGGCTCATCATATATCGCGAGAGGTGTGTCAAAACTTCCCGGGATATTGATGCCCCCGTGATGGGTTTAATTCTAGTAGATTAACAAATTGGGCCTGGTCAGCATAAATGGTGACCATCAACCCTTGGTCCGTAGGGAACTTGAGACACTGGTGAAGTGTGGAGGCTATGGCCAGATTTTCATGAAGCCAAGGTCATCCTAAGAGAAGGGTGAAGGAGGAATCTACATCTGAAACATAGAATCTAACTATCTGGGATATAGGTCCTACACTAAGAGCTATGGGCATAATTCCCTCGGTCTATCTCTTACTCTCATTGCAGGCAGTGATGGTGAGGTGAGAAAGCTCTAGGTAAGATAGGTCTATAC